TAGACAGTACAGCTCCTAAAGATGGCCACAGGTTGAATGGCATAGACAGCAATATTTATATAAAAGCATGTTCTTTATGAGTTTTGTGGATGTGCTTGCAGAGGTGTTGCTAGTGGGAAGAAATACATTTTTTCACCCTGAAGGGTACATTAATCCTGAATCTTTTTTGTATTGGGATGTTTTTTGGGGGTAAGGGATTTGATATTGGGTATTGTCTCTGTGTGGTTAAAAGATTTATGTCCTGAAGGGATTTATTTTAGTTATGATTAAGAAATCAGAGTTTGTTGATTTCTTAATGGGAAACATGCTTTGTTAATTTCAGCCTACGTTTCAATATAGGCAGAAAGGCTTAGGGACACTTTTGATTGTTTGCCAGTTCTTAGTGGATCAGGGGAAGCCTAATTCTTGGGAGAGGAGTTGGTTGGTCAAGAGAGGGGTGGGTGATACAAGGGGGCACCTGGATTTTTTGCTCCACAATACATTGTTTTAACTTCAAAACTATCACTCATTTTTGGACCCAATTAGTTCACGATGACCTTCAGATTGCCTTGTGTGTCTTGTCCTTTGTATTTTGACAATTAAGTATGTGGAAGTTTTTGAAGCAGGTCCTATATCAACCATTTCCATTCATGCCCTACACATCTCTGAGAGATGTAAAAGTTGCTAGAAAAGCCAAAAGCCAATATAAAGTTTATTTAATAATACTTAAGTTGTTAATATGATTTCTTTTGTTTTGCATTTCAAAATTTTATCTGCTGTTAAACAAAGTTTTCAGTCAACATTTCATTCCTGTGCATTTCATATTTTTGTTTAAAAAATCCAAAGTACCGATCAATTTCTTGTACAAAGTGGGACCTCTTTAATTTCCTGTTTCTGCTATGCCATTTTCTACTAAATTTCAAATATAAAAAATTATCTAACCAGTTTTAGAATTAGTTTCATAATTCTGATATATTGCATCTGGTTTGATTTTTCTGGTTTGTATAATAGCACATAATAACTTTTTCCAGCACTTTCCCCGCATAAAAAAATAAGTAAAAAAGCAATAGTATAACTTTGAATTGCATTATGCTCAGGAGCACATGGAAATTGATTCCTAGGAAGTTCTGTCATAAAGAGTTAACGCAAGTAAACTCAAATGGACAAGTTGGGTCATGTTTTCTCTGCAAGTGAGATAGTCTCCTGACAAGATACAATGCCTACTTGGATTCCCTCCCTCCCTTTCACTTTTGGCTTAGCTCCAAAATAACTTGCTACATGATTAATCATGTAAGAATCAATTTGCTATACATATACTGTAAATATTGTTCTGTATTACTCCTGATAAGGTTTAGAAAAGTGTGCCCTTAAAATAGTAAAATTCAATTTCACTAGTATGTTATTTTGTTATTTTCTACTTTGATATTTATTTTTTCTTCCTAATAGCTTTTATTGTTTTCTGTTGTATATAGAAGACCCTTTAATCCTGTTTATGTCCTATTGCAGACATGTCAAACTCGCGATGTCACGTGACATCACGTGACGTCTCGGAACTTTTTCCCCATTGCCGGCAATGGGGTGGGCATGGTTTTGGCATGACGCATCCGGCTGGCAGGCCGGCAGTTTGACATGCCTGCCCTACTGGATCTGTAGATAAGATTTTTCATAAATTTGATACTAAGATATCTCATAATTGTAGCTTTTAAACTATATGACTGGACAAAATGTTGAGGAAGCATGTCAATGGAGATTTTCAATCATCTAGGTCATAGTTGTCTCAAAGGCGTTTTTTCAAAAGGCAACTGAACTTTTTTTCCCTTGAGGAAGACATTTCACTTCTTATCCAAGAAACTTCATTGGTTTTGGCACGATGGTGGGGGCGATGGATTAGTTGTGACAGGATGTAGGGAGGGGGGGGTTTGGAAGAATCATATTTCTTTGCAATCATCTGGTCTTTAGCACTCTGAGAGCTCTTGAGGCCACTTGGTGGGGTAGTCTTCTCCAATAATCATTCAGATATGAGTTTATAATCTCACAATCTATGTTGGTTGGCAAATGATAGACACTTATTACATGGTTTTCAGTAGAAATCTGAAGTTTGTTTTCATTGTATTTCAGTAAAAGGTTATTTAAATTAGAATGGAAAATATGTATGTATTTGTATTTTGAGGAATTTCACTTACACTGAGAGTACCTCCAACCTTGGGGCTTGTATACTCCAGGCATGTCAAACTCGCGACGTCACATGATGTTGCACAATGTACCGGGCCAGTTTTGCCATTGCCGGCAATGGGGTGGGCGCGGCTTTCATGTGATGCGTCTGGCCCGTGGGCCAGCAATTTGACACCCCTGTACTACTCCAAGCTCAGGTGATCTTACAATATTTCCATTATTTGTGTATTCATTAGGAACTGATCTCAGTAAAATCACTGGGCTTCTAAGAAGTTTTAGGGTAGGCCATCCTGGCCTTACCCTGCCTCTTAGATTTTATGTATATCTAGTAGCAATAAAAATATAAATTATTATTAAAATTATGGTAAAAAGAGGGAGGAAGCAAGGGGTGAGGTAGAATCTGCTATTGGTCCTTCAATCACCTCCACAGTAAAACTCCCCCATTGGGGCCCCAAGCCAACTGGCAGAGCCAGGTCTTCAGGCCCTTATAGAGGATCAGGAGGGGGGGAGAAGATCTCATGGGGGAGGGAGGGCAAGATATTCCAAAGGTCAGGAGCCATTACATTAATATCTTTTTGAAAATTACAACTGTAGCTTTATATATTCCTCAGATCAGAATTCAACTTCATTTTCAAAAAAGCTTAGAAAAAAGTAAAATAATGCACTGAAGATTGCTATGATAGAAAATTTATTTAAAAGCCGATAAAAATTTAACCTTATACTTAGTGTCATGATCATACAAATAGTTACAGCTTAGATTAACTGTTTACAATTTATTTCTCACCTCTTCAAAGAACTGACAGATAAGAATAGTGACATTTTATTTCAAATGGAATGTGATGGCTATACCACACAAAACACAAAAATAAAACAGCATTTAGAAAATAAAAGTTGTCAAAAGTTTTGATAAAAATGGCTCCTTTGAACAAGATTCAAGATACTGACTTTATACAATTTTCAAGCAATATTATTTCAAATTCATTCAGTTATAGTAGACACTAGCAGCTGAAGAAATTGAATGACAAGAATTCTATGTAAACTTTAAACACATGCACAATTAGCCTGGATTGAAGTTTACTATAACAGTCTCCCAAAATGTATAGGTATTTTGAACCCAAAACACAATAGGATTCCATAGAAATCAGCATCAATTTTGGCAAAGGATAGCATTTAAACAAAGATACACAGTAATCAAGTAGTTAGGAACTGAGTGCAACTCCAATGGCCATTTACCTTTGTGTTCAAATCATTTAAATGATAACTTAATTCCACTGTAACATAAATAAGATCCATATATAATTATTAAATAATACCCCTACACAGAATTCTACAGCAAATGAACAAAACACTTTATGCTTATGAATTTTTAAAGCTTGAAATGGTATCAACTTAACCACTTGGCCTTGTTAGAAGGGGTCAGTCTGCCTCTACCACCAAACTCTTAAGAGAAGATGCTAAAGCCTGGTGATGTAACATAAGCGGCTTGGTGATATCAGAAACTGTCTAGCAAATAATCTGACACATTAGCAGAGGGAGTGCTGTTTACTAGTTTGCTTAAATCAGGAATTTATTTTGGACCAGGATTAGTGTACATAAAGCCAGGTTAAACAGTCTGGGCATTGTTGAACTTTTTATGCTACAACTATCGTCTGCATAATAGTATGGCAAATGATAGAGGATGATGGAAGTTATGAACCGAACCTCTTCCAAAAAGAGGCCACATGTGCCTGGAGTCTATTTCCCATCTGTAAAAATGGTAAGGACATAGATTGTACTGTATGCCCCAAACACTAATAAAGACAGGAATTGGAAACTTCCCTTATGTTTTATCCTGTAGTTTGTTCTAGCTACCACCAGCTAATACTCTTTATGTTTAAATATTAAACATTAGTTTAATGTTGTAGGTATCTCAACATACATGCCACACATGGCTATAGCACTGTGCACTCAAGAATGGCTGAAATCTAAACAACTGTTTTCCATTCATCTGACAGCATTGGTATAAATAATAAATAAATATCTAGTACTGAAGTCCAAATTCAAGATTCAACAATTCTGACACTATAAATATTAAATATGCTAATAAATTAAAACTCATTAACAAACTATTAAAAACTGATCACAGTGATATTAATCAAGGAAAGAAGAGCTTGAGTGAACTGGGAACTTGCCATCATAGGAAGAATACATTTCATTGCAACATATTTGATATGTGAAGAAATCTTTCCATTTTTCTTACAAGTTAATCATTATCAGTCTTAAACAACTGAAGTTTTAATTGTAGTAGCCTCTCAAGTGGTGAAAGATCTCTGAAAGATTCTGAAGGCAAATTTTCCCATTTGCACATACATGTAAGATGCTCTTCTCTCAATACCATACCAATATTTGTTTGAAGTGAAGGCTAATCTATAAAAATTTAAACAGTTTTAAAACAAATTATAATTTAACCCAGTGTTTCTCAACCTCAGCAACTCCAAGACTTCAACTTTCCTCAGAGGCAGAATTGCTGAGGCTGAGAAACAGTGACTTAAGAGAATGGAGAGTTCACAATATAAAACAATGACTTGTTTTTCACAACATGCTGAATCTCAAGCAACCCAGCTCCACTTTAGTCTAATGTAACATGTTGTACAAACCCTAATATTTTTATTTCTTAGAGCTAAATTTATCAGGATTACTTTATTTGTCTCCTACTTTCAGTAAAATGGTGCATAAAAATTTAAAATAAATTAAAAACAAAGACAGAGGAGCTGGAATTCTACCCGTCAGAGCAGTCTTTTCAGGCAAAAGCAAGTCTTAGGACTTCCTTCTGTGTACAGAAATATTTCAGCTTCAAGGTCTTTGGTGAGAATTCTCCACAGATTCCCTTTATGTGCTACAGTGCCTCAGGGCCCGGAAAATCATATTCATAAATATCTGGAGTTTGGAGAGAACCAGGTAACTTCCAATTTCTCTTTGAACTTCCACAAATCTAGGCTCATTTTCTGCCTGTGGATAGATAACTCTGGTCAGGCTGCTTTCTTCCATCTGAAAAAAAGATTGGGGAAATTGAGGAATCTCAGATTAATCATTAACATTTGCATATTAATTCCAGCACTATCCAAATTGGCTGGCATGTTACTCTTGGATCAATCCTATTGCAGCCAACGTTGTCACTATCATACCCCCCCAAAGTCCTCTTCAATGACCTTATTTTAACAAATAGGCTGTGTGTGTGTCATGGCAAGGGGTAATGGGATGTAATCCAGCAGGGAAAAACATGGTCCCAGCCTCCAGAAAAGCAGAGAGAAGTATTTTTGCTCCACAAAGAGCAGTGGGTCAAGGGATATGCTCATAAATACATCTTTGAGCTGGTGCAAGCAAAATAATGCACCCAGATATATTTACTTCCTCGTGCATACACACATCCCTACGCTCTGCTCTACCAGAGTTGCAGTAACAATTTTATAAGGCATGCTTGAGAATTGCCTCAGCTCAGAGGGAGCAGTTTGTATAAGTTAGGATTAATACATGAACAGGAAAAATGCTCATACCATATAAAGTTCAGTACAGTAGAAAGGTGTGCAAAAGCCAGGCACTAGGATTATCCACAATATGAAAAGCAACGATCTTAAGTATTTATTACTTTGAAATTTAAGCTTACAAAATGACAAAGGCAAAGTTTCTTCCTTTTATAAGACTGGATATACAACTGTTCAACAAGTAATGGTAACAGAGGTTATTTCCAAAGATGAAGTGGAGTTAGAAATTTAAAAAATCTTCCTGCAAAGCACTTTTGGCTGTATTTGAGTGCTGAAGCAGTCCACTACTTAGATCCTATTTAAAAGCATCCACCAACTACAGCGACATGGCTTCTCTACGAGGACTGAGTAGTATGCATTTTGCAATTACCAGGGCCATAGAGTACTTTGGATCTAAAAAAAAAAAAAGTGCTCTGGAACATGAAAATAAGCCCTGTGTTCAATAGCAGGAAAAACCTAATGGCTTTCCTTTTCACAGCTATTGTGATTCCAGAAAAAGATAGTCTTTGAGTGTTGCAACAGATGCTATACTCATGCTCCATGTATCCTTTGGAAACTGAATCTAAAGTACTCTTCAGCGCTCATATTTTTAGAAGCTTACCTTCATAGTTCATCAACATTCACCAAGACATTGCTAATGTCCAGGTAGGTGACCTGCTAAATTATTATAGCAGATTCACACTCATACCTATACTAAACATTTTTTTGATATTCCTATAGAACTGGATAGTTTCTCCTACTCGGCTCTGATCCTTTCCCAACTTAATGAATTATTTATGCAACTCCTCACCTGTTGTTGAATGTTGTGGGACAAGTTGGAAATATCCAGTTGAATACCAAGTACTTGGTCAGCGTAAGTTACTAAGATTTGGCGAATATATGAGAGATAACCAGAATAGGTTTGGAGGCCTGCCTGTATCTGATTGAAGCATCTTTCCTACATGATATAAATATAATAGGGAATGAAGAAAAGTTATTATGCATTCCATTCTTATGCAAATTTCAGTAAAATTTTTATTTTATTACACTGGTGGTGTACAACTTGTGTTGAGAGACAAGTTGAGCTCTGTTCTCCAGAAAGTGGACACGGTTATTGAAATTATGAATAATGTTATTTCCACAGTAAAATGTACATATACTCTGAAAACAAACCCAATTGTATTGTGCCACAATTAAAGGCTATATTAATTACAATTGAGATTAGAGGTAAGGAAACAGTGACACTACCCAGGATGAAATGTTAGATTTGGCTTAATATGGATAAATATGAATGATTTCTACTGTTGTAAATTAAGCAATGAAGGGTAAACGGAATAAAGAGTGACTCTATGTCTGTACCATTTTAAGCTATGACCAGCCAATATATACTAGGAATTAATAGATTAACAGTGGAAAAATTAAGTTATAAAAGGTAGCAGCAGCCAGAAAAACATGTTTTGAATAAATATACATTTTAATTATTAAACAATAAAATGGATGTAAATAATCTATCTATCTATATGGTCGCTGTAGATTTCCATACACTACACTTGAATTTATAGCTCTTAAGAAATATTTATTGGACAGGGGAATTTTCTCTTAATGCTATTATCAGTGATATTTACCTATTTTGTAATATTCTTCTCTGGAGATGTTGGGTATCCCAAGATTATCATATTGGATAGACAGGTAAAATATGAACACTCTGAAACTAAGGTCTGCTTTTTTAAAAAAAAAATCCATCTAGACTCAAACTCAGAGCAGATTTTTAGAACTAGGACATGAGCGTGGCAAAGTAATATTAGAATAACTGCATTGCTGTCTTCTTTCATTACTGTTTAGGTTTGCCTGTTCACCTTTTAAGGAATAACAAAGATTTCAAAGTTGAATTTGATACCAGCAGTGCTAATGGCCAAATTTAAAGTAGGCATCCATCAAGAAGTTATGTGTACTTATACACTTTATAAGAAGGTTGTCAAGTATTACGCTTGATGCGCGTGTATTATCAGTCAAAGCCCCATTAAAAAGGCTGGTTATATTTAAGATGATTAGGATTAGAAAAAAGATGGGTCAATGACAATGTGGTTATTTCGTCCCCAGTGAAATCAAGCTACTGATTAAGGTGATTACTGATATTACATGGATCTACAGCAAATGGTACATATTCTTGTTATGAGGAATGTGGAAAAAACCTGACTGAATAGAGGTAACAAGAGAGTTTATGTAGCACATTCACAGACAAGGTAGGTATTTGAAGGACCAAGTACCATTATTGGCTTAAAATCAATATTGCTTTATTTCTGCTTTTATATCTGATTATGGATAATACAATGTCCATGAGTGTCTTTGTACATATGCAAACTGTTAATTATTAAAATAGGAAAAAATCCTCCTGAGCAATAAAACATTCTGTTTTAAAGGTATTTGTTTTCCTTCAGCAAAAAGAAAAAAATGAGAAAGAGGCATATGATAAAGCAAAGTATCAGCTTTTTAGCATTTGCTTACAAATACGCCTCTGAGAATCAAATAGTTTCCAAAAGCATTTTTAGGAAATTAAAAATGGTTGGTGGCTAAAGTCAAGTGCTCTGTCTTCTGAAACAAAACAATTACCATCTAGAAAAAGAGCCAGTCTGGATTAAAAAAGGATCCCAAAACATAGAGGGGTGATTAAGAAATATCCTAACCAGCTTACTTATAAGGAAGGATACTTAGCCAGTCATGCTGGCTGGAGAATTCTGGGAATTGAAGTCCATATGTCTTAAACTTGCTCAGTTGAGTCTAAGCAGCCATTTTACAAACACCACATATAAAACCAATTTGTGAGATGCACTTAAAAATCCCAAATATTGCCATGATTGATTTCTTTCAAAATTATGTGCTGCTACCCTAGTACTTTTTTGGTTGAGGAGAAAAATTGTTTGAGGTTACAATCAGATTGGTGTTGCTACTTACCATGTCACAGGGGTCCTGTTGGCAATGGGAGATATTAACTTGTTGAATGCCCAAGAGTTTTTCTATTGTTAACAGTTCTCTGTTACTGCCAAAGCTGAATGCTTTACGCTGGAGGAAAAAAAGAAAAGATAATCTGAAGAGGTATTTCTGAGATTCCAAAAAGGAGCAAACATATATGAGTGCTTTTATATCTTTGCTCCCTAAAAGCAATATGTTACAAAATCCTTCCCTAATCCTATTTTTACTATACTTCAAAATCCAATGAGGCTCACAGAAGCTGAGCAAGGTTTAATATGTACTTATTAAAAGAATGCATATTAACTTAGTTATATGAATATAAAGAATTTAATAAGGTAGGCCTGATATGCAAATAGCAGTATGGAAAAGGGCTGAATGATGCTGCATTCTAACACAGCAAATACTTATCTTGAGGCTCAACATTTAAAATTTCCCACCAAGTTTCTAAATCAGTGTTTCTCAACCTTGACAATTTTAAGGCATGTGGACTTCAACTCCCAGAATTCCACAGCCAGCATGGCTGTGGAATTCTGGGAGTTGAAGTCCACATGCCTTAAAATTGTCAAGGTTGAGAAACACTGTTCTAAATCTTTAAGCAGGATGCTTTAAAGTGCATGAGTAATGTCTATGGAAATCTCAGAAGCCAGTGAGAACTGTTGGATATGACTTCCAGAGATTAGGAGATTTTGACTGCTCTTTACATCTTTTCATCTTCCTCGTGATTAACAAAACAAATTATGCTCTGCTAAAATAGGGAGTTGAACACATATTTACTAACATGGAGCTGGACAGTGAAAACCAATCAAACTTAATGTTAGCTGTGATTAAGGTAATTTCTTCACTAAAAGCTTACAGCACCTTTGGAGTTATTCCATTGTTGGACCGAAAACAACAGTAATGAGAACTTTAATATTGCTTCAACAAAATCTGAGTTGTTTTATGAAAATACCAGAAGTCAGTGGAGAAATGATCAAAAAATCCTTCTGGATTCATTGAGGTTCCCTGAAGTATAATACGGTGAAACCTGATTCATCCTTTAAAACTGAGTGAAACCTGGCACAATTTACAATGAAGACAGGATTTAGGATTATTTTTAAAATAAAGGTTAAATTTTACTTCTGGATTTATAGTTCTATTCACCCTAAGCTACTCTTACATTAACCACTATTCACACAATCCAAACTAAAAAACTGTTACTGTATTTAAAGACCTGTAAAGGAGCATCAAGCAGTTAATTTCACTCCCTTAAATTATCTCTCTTTGTATTTAGTAAGCCTTAATTACAATATATTTTATATTCATTTGACAGATTCAATCAAAATATTCCCTCTCAACACCCAAAGGGGAAGTCATCAAGAATGCCAAATTTGCTGGCTTATTTGCAAACAATTTTCTCCTTTGAAGTTTTTCATTTTGAATTGGCACAATCTGACATGTATTCCGGAAGCATGAGAGAAAAACATTTGTGTACCGTAATTTTAGTAGGGAGGGCCCCTGTTCACTGTTCTAAGAAATGCTATATGAGATTAAGACTCTTTGGAAGACTAAGCTGTAATTTATGGGAAGTACTAGAAAAGGATCAGAATGATGTCCCAAGTATGTTAATCTGAAATTTTCAGCCCAATTCAAATTTTGATTTTCTGTATGTATAGTGATCTAATTATTTTAGTCTATAACTTTTCTCTGTTATGTCATATTGCAGGAGAAGATATTTTGGCACCACGGACATCAAGTTATCTCTAAGTAACACTCTTCATGCCCTCTAGGTTTTCAGTAATCCTAAATTTAAACCCTATGCTCTGCAGATGTTGCTGGACTTTAACTGCTGGCTTTCTTCATTACAGCTGTTGAAAACTGAAATTCAACATTGGCAGGACTACTAGTTTTCCACTCCCACAAGGGTTTGGGTGGGTTGGTAGGTTGTTGACCAAATTCAATACTTGCACTGAAGGCCCATGTGGTTTTATAACATGAAGCATCTACTAACTAAAAAAGGATGTAGCATGGTCATAGTTATAATCAGGTATCCTAACTGATCTTCCGATTAATACTTCAGTTCCTTTGTTCAAGAATGCAAGAACATCTACAGAAGATATCAGTTGTGAAGCAATACACTAGTACATCTAAGTGCACACTGAAAGCACACCATCAAAAATATTAATGGTTTAAAACCATATCTGAGCTACCTTATCTCATATAAGTCTTTTATATTACTCAGATTCTTCCCCAAATCCTCCCTTATTTAAAACTAGCTGTACCCAGCCACGCGTTGCTGTGGCTCAGTCTGGTAAGAGCGTGTGTTGCTTTTACGTCCAACAGATGGTGCTGTTTTTAAAAAAAACATGTTTTACCTGTCACAGGTGTGACATCTATATAATATAGGTATATAAAAACACGTGCGTATTCAAATGCAACGTTGTGTCAAAATTTCAAAGCAATCGGTGAAGAACTTTCAGAGATTTAAGATTTTGAACAAACGAACATTTACATTTTTATTTATACAGATTATGCATTAACTACTGATTTAAAAGATCTTTTTAGCTTTGATAGTCTATGAAATACTATGTCAGCGGAAGAAAATCAGAACACTTCAAATTTGTTACTTCAATAGATTTGATATGACAACTTTGTTCCCTTCCACTATTCATTTTCCATTCTGTTGTATCACTGCAGTACAATAGGGATAGTTTATGAATTTTAGATTAATTTCAAATTTAGATTAATTTCAAAATAGGATTATTACACCTCAAATTCCTTAATTTCTGAGCTTTCATGGCCAATAACCATACTGGCTTGGAAATGTAATCCCAAATGCAAGTCTCCAGGTTAAAAAAATTGACTTAAAACTGAATATTAGAAGAAAAAACTAAAACCACCAAGACTGCAGCTATATATTTACTTTATTTGCATCCTTGCAATGGAAGACTTACCCAATATAGCTGGCAAACATTTTAATCAAAGTACCCTAAAGAATCAATATAAAGTACTGGTTTTCCTCTCCCACTACAGATTCTTTACTTTTTGTTGGAAAGAAACTTGATACGCAGCAATTTAATACATGATTGACTCAAAAGTCGATTCATAAATGCTCATAACATATCTCCAAATCCTTTAAAATAACCTGAGAATTTGGTTGACAAATTATGTGTATCTCTTTGTAGATTTCTTTACCCAGCATATACTTACCACAAGCCCATTCAATGCAAGGAGATCAGCCTTTATTCTGATGACAAACTCCTTATTTTTCGAAACAAACTGGTGCAAACCAGGATCTCCAGAAAATTCTGCATGAGGCGCAGCTGAGCACATTAGCCAAGAAAGTGCAATACTGACAAGAAGAAGAAGACCTGGGAAAATAAAATAATATACACAATAGTGAGGACCGCTCTACGAACTGCACTAAAATATTTAGCCGGCACTAATGTCTAAAAAAACTGAAACCATTATTAGACAGTTATGATTATCATTTATCAGCTCCAGCCTACCGTCTTCACTTATGGCCTCCCTTCTGCCGTTTTTTCTTTTTTTAAGTAAAAGTGGATCTGAAGGGACGCCGCTCAACTCTCCATAGCTCGAACCAAGAAGAAACTATAAGGTAGCTGAGCGCAAGTGGGTGGAGAAGTGATTCCGTCAGAATTAAATCTACCATTCTAGCTAGCACGTGCAACAAACTCAATGAGACTCAGCCCAAAATACGGGTCTGCCGCTTTCGTTTCCCAACCTTTCCAAGTCAGGGGCGTCTCTATCACGTGGCAACGCTGTTTATTTCAATCTTTGGCTTCGCCTGACGTGAGTCCCCGCAAGAGTTACGGCGGGTTTTTCGAAACCCAGTTGCCTAGCTCGTTTGAAAAAGGTGAAAATGTCAGTAGGCTGGAAAACGAAGCCGCGTCTCTCCTTCTCTAAACTTTTGGGAGAACTTCGAAGCACATACCAGAAGTCCCCTTTTCCTTCCCTCTTAAACGTACAAAGGCCAGTCTTGACCTCTGAAAATAAAACAATTTTACCAGCTCAAGTTTCATCTTCCTACAATCAAATCCGGAGAGAATGGGTCTCCAACCTGGGCGTCTCAAAGCTTGTTAAGCATTCCTGAAGGTGGTGCTAAGGAGGAGCGGCTGGAAAGGGAAGCCGGGACTCGTCCTCCTTCCTTCTCTCGGCCGCAAAGGTGGGCAATAGTTCCAAAGGCGGCGGGAAAGTTCTCCGGGGAGCCCTCGCCCCGAAGGACGCCAAAAAGCCGCCCTTCCCGAGCAAGGCGCCACCACGAGGAAACTTACCCTCTCGTCTCGGGCTCCGCCCGGCCGCGACGAGGAAGGACCTGCCCCGAGAGCTACTTACTCCGTGTTGAACTCATCCTTTTTGCAGGAAAGCCTTTGGTCTCGCCCACTTTCTTCGAAAACGACGTGCTGGTGATGCGGGAGGCTACAGGCGAGCGGGTGCCTAGGTTGCTGTGAATCAAACTGTTCTCCATTGGGGTTATTTATAGGGAGAACGATTCGGGAACTTCCTCGGACGGTGAAAAGAGGGAGGGGCACTGGAGGCTAATTGAGAGGGGTGGTTTTAGGCTATGACTCTCACATTTTTTTCGTTTATGCACTAATTACGGTAAATTCAAAATCCACTGGATGTCCTTGATCAGGGTCGGGGCGGGGGGCTGGAGGTGATGAGGATCTGGAGCTTTTCTCCTTTTCCCACGTGTGAAATAGTTTCACAAGTAACTGGGTTTGTTTAATTGAAACCTTAAAGAATTCACAACTGGTTCCAACATTGTTACAACCTTTTGTGGTCTTTTAAAACTTTATTGGAGTTATTGAAGACTTTGTTCTTTTAAAAAAGAAAGCCCAATAAGGAGTTTAAGCTTAATGTTTGAAAATAATTTTATGGAAAATAAAGGCAGTAACAAAATGCGACTTTTTTTTAAAAAAAGTTTTGTCTCCTTATTTAATTTAAAGAGTTTATAACTAGGAGATCATGTTTTTCCCAACCTTCCAGAGGCATTTTATTTCTCAGATTTTCGGTCCATCTTCCCTCATATATTCCTTTACACCTTTCCATTATTTATTTACTCTAGATCCATGGATTGGTTCCAGAATTACAACAGTCTTATCGGAATAGGGCTTGACAAACAAAAAACTCATTAATTTTAATAGCCCTACGTAATGTATGGCAAAATCTGGTCAGGCTTCAGCAGTGACTTAAAATGAAAAGAATGGTATTTAACAGGAAGAAATGAGATTCTGAAATCTGCCTAGTAAAATTAAAAGGCATGAGTAAGATGTGGAGACTTGATACAGTAGTACATGTGAAACAGATATAGTGTCTTATCAACCTCAAGTTCCCAGAGCATCCGGACTAATACAGCTACCTGAAAAGATAAATGCTACCTTGGGGCAGGATAGAGTCCGTGTCATGAGGGGTAATTGTTTCACCCTGCTGGGCCCCCCCCGCTCAGACTTCACTTGGAATACTGTGTTCTATTCTGGGCACCAGTTTTAAAAAAAAGATGAAGGGCAAATCCAGCCAGTTCAAAGGATGGCTATGAAGGTTTGTGAAGAGTCTGGTGTCTAAATCCCATCAGGAATGGCTACAGGATCTGGGTGTGCTTGACCCACAAAAGAAATGACTTGTGCGAAGGTCAGATAGCAGTTTACAAATATCTGAAGACTTGTCATATGCAGGTAGTCCTTAACTTACAGTTGGTTGCTCAGCGATCAAAGTTACAATGGATCCGCCAAAAGATACAACCTATTCCAAAGTTCTGCCAGCTGTCTTCCCCCATATGATCACATGGCCATATTTCAGGTGCTTGGCAACCAGCCCTACAGGCATGTGAATGCAATTTATATCATTTTCGCCAAAAAACCAAGGTTTACTTTCAGTTTTTAGCAAAAATGCCCCATGGTGAATGATGAGTTCACTTAATGCCCACAACACTGGTTGACAACTGCTATAAAGGTTGTAAAACTGTGTTGGATACAGTATGTCCTGCTGCATAATGGGTAGGCTCTGTTACGGTCATAAATTGAGAACTATCAGCAGAAGAATTGGATTAATTCTGCATTGCTTCAGAGAATAGAATAAGAAGCAGTAATTTAAAACTACAAGGAAGTACGTTCAGGCTAGAAAGCAGGAAGAACTTCCTGAATATACAAATTGTGAGCCAGTAGAGCAGGCTGCTACTTGAAGCAAGGACTTCTCCTTTGAAGATGTTCAGAGATTGGATATTTATGTGTCAGAGGTGCTCTGGTGAATTCTGCACTGAACAAAGGTTTGGACTAAATCTCTAATATTCATTTCATCTCTATGATTCTATGCAGATTTCACACATCATCATTATTACTTCTCCAAACTTAGTTTACCCTCTGATAAAGAGCTGAACTGAAAGCACGGGTAGTCCTCAACTTATGACCCCAATTGAGCCCAAAATTTCTGTTGCGAAGTGAGACAGTTGTTAAGTTAATTTTGCCCTATTTTAAAACCTTTCTTGCCAAAGATGTTAAGTGACCCACTGCAGTTCTTAAGTTTGTAACATGGTTGTTAAGTGAATCTGGCTTCCCCATTGACTTTGCTTGTCAGAAGGTTGCAAAGAATAATCGCATGACCCCAGGACACTCCGACCGCCATAAATGTGAGTCAGATGCCAAGCATCTGAATTTTGATCACATGACCATGGGGATGCTACAATAGTTCGTGAATGTGAAAAATGGTCATAAGTTATTTTTTTCAGTGCCTTTATAATTTCGAATGGTCACTGAATGAACTATTTTAAGTCGACTAATAGTTTGAAAATGGAAAAGTTAGACAGGCCTTGAGCATGTCTTTTCTTCATACAGTCTCACAGTGATCAATCAGAAGCAAGTAGAATTGATGCTGGTGAAGATTCATTAGAACATAGAAATAGTTTATTCTGGTATTAGGACCCAAGTATCTGAAGGATGCATACTGGGCCTCCCATCAACATGATAGTTCTCTGTTCTCTGCTATTTGTATCCTCCAGATATGACCACTTTTGTGGATAGCACTATCTAGGAGGGATATAGGTATATAATAACTAGATATTTATCCAGATGCACATACATGTGTCTACATAAGTTAGACATATATTTATTTATTTTATTTATTATAATATTTATATCCCATCTTTATTTCATGAGTTCAGGGTGGTGCACGACAATCCTTCTTTCTTAATTTTCCCCACAACAGCTATCCTGTGAGGTAGATATTCTGGATGTCATAAAGTTTAGTTTTAAATGTTTTTTTTCCCCACCTCAGCCTTTTATAAAAGTTCTCCAATATTTTTCAGGGATTGCTGTCATGTATTGCTTTCTTTCATGAGAATACCTATTTGGGCAAAGAGACATTCTTGTAAATAGAGGTAGCTCTGCTCATTTGCTTCCTAATGTAATAGCTTCCTGCTCAATGTTTAATCTAACAAAATCTTTAAATTGATCTTAGTTTCTTTTACTATCATTATGGTTCTATTCAGACATTCTATTTAGAGACTGCATTTTTAGTATTGCATATACAACCTTGGCAATTCTTAAAACATGTAGACTTCAACTCTAGAATTTCCCAGCCAGTCTCTATACCCTTGTATATATAGATATGGATCTTTTCAAACCAAAATGGTTTTGATCCATCCAATGTGCCTTGTCGACTGGATGGATCTGCAAATATATGGGTTAAAATGGCCAGAAATTAATGATGTGTTTTTCTCTCCTGTATTATCTTTGCAATATATAACCATGTAACTTTATAATCTGCCCAGAGAATTTTTGTTCTAGAATAGAGTAAAATGTAATAAAACAGAATAATATCCCCATTGGATCATTTTAACAGGCAACCTGGATTGATTCCAACTTATGAAGGTTCATCTTAAAGAATGCATGGTAGATTAAAGCTAAATAATGGTCTGCAGAACAGCTGTTCTTTATTCTTTTTCTATGTATTTGGCTAGGATGTTCCCTACTGTGCCATTTTATACTGTCTATAGTGTCCACTATGTACAGTAAGCTTTAGACTAGATCTACACTGTATGTTAGTCTAGCTTTAAAATATATTTGAATGTTCATGATTTAAGACTTAAATAGTGAACACTGCCCCTTTAATAAAAGAAAACCCCAACCCTGTTTTGTTTCTATTCTCAGTAATTGGGGACCTATACGTGTAGTCATCATTAAGGATTACTAAGCAAGGTGCTTGTTAAGTAAGTCGCACCTGATTTTATGACCTTTTTTGCCACAGTTGTTAAGCAAATCACTACAGTTGTTAAGTGAACCAGCAATAATTAAATGAATCTGGCTTTCCCCACTGACTTTGCTTGTCGTAAGCTGGCTGGAAAGATTGCAAATGGTCATCACTTGACCATGGGGTGCTACAACTGTGATATATACATGGCAATTGTCAAGCACCCAAATTTTGATCACATGACTGTGGGGATGCTGCAACAGTTGGAAGTGTGAGAACCAGTTGTAGGTCACTTTTTTCAGTGCTGTTGTAACTTTGAATGACTTGTTACAAGTTGAGGACTACCTGTAGCTTGATAGCCTAGTTAAAGTAGGCTTGGGTAGTTTTTATTTATTTATTTGCATCTCACCTTTATTATTTTTATAAATAACTCCAGGGAGTGAACATATCAAACACACCTTCCTCCTCCTATTTTCTCCCAAACAAGAGCCCTGTGTGATGGGTTGGGCTGAAAGAGAATGACTGGCCCAAAGTCACTCAGCTAGCTTTCATGGCTAAAGCAGGACTTGAACTTGTGGGCTTCCACTTTCTAGACTGGCGTCTTAACAACTAGACCAAACTGGCTTGAGAAGCAGTCATTGCCTTAGTATGTTGTGTGAACCAGATCAGGTTATCATATTAAACCATCATATGGTTTCTTTGGCATCAGATTTCATTTATTGCATTGCATTGTACTGCACTGTATTGTATACAATTTTATGTATTGTATTGTACAGTATTTTTACTAAGCCAAATTTACTGCATAATGAGGTAAGTGAATGCAGTCAATATGTTCTTATCCAGAATTGCTCCAAGCATTTTTGGGCAGAGAAATGCCAATGCTAATTAAAGTATTAGCATAGCCGATTGGCCTACTAACATTTGTGTCTTGGGTTTGTTTGTTTGTTTGTGAAAATGATTATTTCCATCATACTTTTTGCAGTGTGATTTACATTTTTGGAGATGTAATGAGCTAGGGAGGGAGATAGCTTAAGATTCTTCTGCTATCAATATCTGTTTCAGAGATGGGCCCTGGAATCCAAGTGGGTGTTCCTTTAATCTCAATGAGGAGAATCCAATGATATTGTGGCCCCATGGAAGACAGTAGTCTTGTGCTTTAAACAAAATTTTGACATTAAGATTGAAGGAATTGCCGAGATGATGAAATTTGTAGAGGTGAAAGTATTTGACATCTGGGTTTCTCCCCCCAGCCCCATTTAGCAAATGTTTGTGTAGGTTAGAGTT